GGCAAGATTTTATACTTTTGCAAATTTTTAAACGTCGATGCACCATGTGATTATGTCGAAGTGCTTTTGTAGAAAAGAACTCGTTGCTTGGTAATTGTTTTCAAATGTAATTCGCTCGAAGCTGATAATGTGTAATTGTTTCGCGCCCAGCATGAGCACGAACAGATAAAAGTATTGAAAATCTGTAAAGTGATGACACTTTAAAAAATAATAACGAAACACTGCAGATAACGGCGAAACGTTCTTCTAAAAAAAAAAAAGAATGATTACTGATACACATACATATGCTCGTTGTGGCCCCAGCGATAAGCCACGCATACTTTACATGCCTATTAAATTTCCTGGAGATTGGTTAATCGCTGTTTGTACATACCACAACAATGTTTGCTACCGAGATTCAGAGATTAATTCGATCCTATAAATATAAATCAAGTTCTTTTTTTAAGATTCATTGAAATATTCAATGATTTATCTTTTTAGTTTACGATCTTATACGCCGTAATGGAGGAATGAAAAAGTACAAACATGGCTCCGTGTATACATTGTCCCCCTTATGGCAGGCCATGAATGTGAAAACTTTCACTTTTTGCAGTAAAGAAGCGTTTCGAACCGTCGAGCGTCTTTTTCTTATGTTCCAAGCTTTATGCCAAAACCATAAATGTGTTAGATAACAGGGTGATTATACTGTGAGCACGGTGCACGAATAGCGAGTTACTATCGACTGCACGTTTGTAATTCTGATATACGAGAGACAGTATAATGTATAATATTCTCGTACGTTGACGGGCAGGTCGTACGTGTCGATTGTAATAGCAAATTGTACGAAATTATGTTTGAACCGAGGAGCTAGGTAAATAGTGGTTTTGGAATAACAGTGATGTCATTATCTTGCACGCTCATTTTTACGTTTCAATCATCTTTCGTGGTCCTCTTCGAATGTAGCATCGATCTGCAGAACGATATAATTTATAAAGAAATTTAAGCATGTTTAGAATTCTCTCATTTAATAATATAAGGCTTATTTGGGCCCTTAATATTTTTATCAACAGCATGGTTCTTTTCTTTATAATTATGTTTAGTGATATACATACAATTCCTGAAGCTTAGGTTGAAAAGCGTAAACTAGTCGATGCCTCGTCATTATGCAAATCGTTTTTTTACTTGCCAGAATAATTTTGAAAAGAAAATTTATCGAACGGAACGTAAGAAATTATTTTCCATTTACTTATATAATAGATTACTTTCTACGTATTTTCCTATCACATCCGCGCGGCTAATTATCAAATGTCTCGAAGTGGTTGTAGCGAGAAAAACGAGAAACTACGGTTTACCGCTTCGTAATTAAACGTAATCGTAATCGTACGGGCTCAAAAGGCGACATGTTGCAATCGGTTCAAAGATAGCGTTGTCGACGCGGCATGAATGAAAAGTTTGGCGTCACGTGACTGACGTGTCAGTAACTTAGCGATTAAAGTAGCTCCAGAAACGATTAATATAGTTTTTTACCGTAGATCAACCTTCGTTATTCCGGAACATATAACTATTACTCCGATATTATTATTTATCGAAAGGAAAAGATCGAGCATTCATGTATTCGCTGATTACGTTTCGCGTTTAACAAATATAACTCTAAACAGGTACAGTTTTGCTGAATAGTTGTTTTTCCGGTCGACGATAATAGTATTCCGTTAGATCGCAAAAACATTGAATTACGTTTAAGCGTCCATGTTTTGTCGGATATTATTACCGGCGCTTCGTATCTGTACAACGTTTAAGCGCCAAAACAAAAAATTGCAACAGAGTTAAATATACACACGGTAGTATACACACTACGCGCGCTCCTGATTATAGTTATCTCGCGGCACCTATATTAGTTACAATCGTTTCGCGATAATCGAGTTTTTATCATCGTCTATGAAACGTTTCTGCTTGGCGATAATTCCGTCGCGTTGCAGTTTCGCCGACACCCGGAGGACTCGTCGACGTCGATCGAGCCATCGATTATCCGTACGCGAGAACGAAGAAAGTCGATTCGCGGGTATCGAACACGCTCGCGAAACCGATCGACGAAAGGAGAAATAAGAAATGCCGCGGGTCTACCTGTCGGTCGCGATTACGCGAAGAAACGTAAACTCGACTTACGTAAGATCGATTGGGCATGACTCACGATTGATTTAGTCGATGGTGCGTCGATCGTTGGGAGTTAATCGGCGCCGATAGACGCGAGAGGTGTGCGACATTGTTTCGAATGAGTATCGTGGTCTATCTGATCCGTGCGATACTCATTACCGGCTTCCCCGTTAATTAATCGCTCGAGAGTCCCGATTACCGCCTCTAATGAATCGATGATGCGCTCGATCAATGAAGACGTAGCGCAGATAAAACGCCAATCGGATTTTTCGAAGTCACTCGAACCAGGCCACTCGAAAATTCATGAAAACGTAAACACGATGGTTTTTTATGATTTTTCAAAGCAAATAATTAGAATAAAGAAAATAAAATTGTTCTACTTTTTCAGTAAGCATGTTTGAAGAATATTCAAACCAGTTATTTCATTATCACTTATATAGAAACTATAATACCGAAGGAATGTTTAAAGGGGACAAGAATAAATCAGTTTCCAATGATTCGTGTTCTTTTAATAGAACGTGCGTTTAGATTATTTCTACGAAACATAATATTAAACGAGAAAGTCGCACAAAGGGGCCTAGAACGAGAGATAAGTTTAATTAGATCGTGGATAGCTAGACAATTTATTTGACCATGAAAAACTTTTATAAATGGAGATAGCATCTTTCAATGTTTCATGAGCTTCCAGTCTTTGCACATTGAGACTATTACAGATAAAATCATAATTATGCTTTGTCGTACGTGTTGTGCAACCCAATTTGTAGGAAGCTAGAGACGTATACTTACGTTGAACCGTTCTGTAAGTATCGGAATGTATTCGTAGCATTTAAGTTATAAATCAAGTCCTTTAAGTTCATCGATAATAATATTTGTACAACGATAAGTTTCAACGGAAGGGTTACTTCCCACATTTCTTCGCTTATTCGGTTTATCAGGTTGGCTGACTTTTGAATCTTCATTTCAGAGAACAGTAATAGTATTCATTTCGTTTCTTAGGCCTTGATACTACGCGTTAATTCCACTTTGCATGTATAAATTAATTAACACTCGAACCAAACGACGAGCGACTAAAAAGCGAGTAAACTTTATTGGGATTATTTTTATTTGGCAAGTTTTTGATGTACCTTGGGAAAGAATTGTTCGTTAAAAATTTTAATTTGAACTGCTAAAACGGTAGCACGTGATCTATCATTTATTTTGGACGTTATGTCCAAGCGTTTTTAAGAATTATTTTCTATTTATAATTTGTCTATTTTCTGCAGCGTAACTTTGAAGTAGAAAAGTGTTGCAAAAATCTCTAATCGACGGTATTTAAATATTCGAATAACAGTCACGAAACGCTCGAATATTCCAAGCTCATTTAAAGCATCGGAATACTTATAAAATATTTGAATAATCCCAGCCGTAGTGTAATCACGAACGTTTACTATCGTGGAAGTTCGTTTACCTACGAGGCCAATAATTTATTCGCGAATGTGTCTGCTAACGTAGAAGCTGCTAAAGCATGCAGATAACCCGTCTTCGATAAGAATATTTCCTGTTCGAAGCTTGGAAAAGTTATTCCGATGAAATTCTTTCGTAGCCGCGAGTAATATTAATCGGATCGTCGCGCTATCCGTACGTTAACGTCAACGATTCCATCGCCGACAGAAATATTTAAAACATCGTTGGATCCCTGGGCATAAATCATCCGTCGAGAAAGTAAAATACAGAGGAATAAAGAAAAAAAATAATATCCAAGCACAAAGATCCTGTTATGGACGGGAATACAAATCGCGCTCCGAACGAATAAATTGTCCTTCTTTTTGTCCCGTTTATGGACAAGGAATTCTATCGATGGTTAGTCACGGTTACCTTTTCCTTTCGTTTCGTTCTTTTCTCTCTTCATTAAAGGCGAGAAATTGGCACGCGGGGGATAAGGTAAAATTAACTCGTTCGTCTCTCAAACTTGACCGTAATTTCTGTTTGCATCGCCGTGGATATTTGCGTAGATGCAAACTCCTATATGCGTCGGTACTATGAGAGAGGGTAACATAAATATATCCGGCAGATAATGGCCACATGAATACGAAATGACGAGCGTAAAGACGCCTTTCGACGAGCCCGACCTTGACTCAAGATCGCTTTTTCTTTACGATCCGTCATCGCGAACCATTGATGACCACATTGGACTCTCGCGAGCGCGCCTTCTTCTTCTTTCTTAAAAATGGTTGCGCAACTAACGCTACGTACCGGCCATGGAAACACCTGAACTTGAATTACACGTCTCGGAGAGGTGTTTTTTGCATAGCGATCGAGTCGACGTTATCCTATTCCCCGATGGCCGTTAATCAACCATAGACAACGGGGGATGGTAATAACGATGGCGTGCACGATGCTCGACGATATTAGCCTGTTATTTGTTTCTTGCGACAGACCCTAGTCGCGTCTCCATTTAAACTGGCGATCGGGCGACGAGTTGGAATTACTTTCGCCCGGTCGTTACTTAAAAAAAAATATCGCAAAGAGTAAAACAGAGAGGAAAACGAGAGTGAATCGGAGCACGTACGCGCCAGAAACGATTGCGTCGCCAGAGAGTGTAAATATTATCAGCGGTAGCGTTAAATTTTCGCGTACAAAGAGCCACATTTATCTGCGCGCGAAAGGAGATTCGCGAGAAGTTGTACGCTCCCGTCGCGATAAGGAAACGTTTACCAATATGTTTACACTTGAGTAGCAGTCGGAAGCGTCTGTTGTTTGCGAATCGCAGATACTCGGGTTACGTTCATTAGGAACGAGACGGCCGTGCAACGAGCGTCACGCGAGATTACGTTCCCCGAAAGCAATGTATCGCGGCCGTTTGCGCGTGTTATATTTTTGTTTTCTCTCACCTTGTAATTTTGATCGTCCGCACTTTATCCAATATGGTATCCAAATGGGAACAAATCGCAGTTACTTTTCGGTTAAGACTCTCTCGAGGAGTCACGAAGCATCTCCACGAGCCGACGACCCGAAATCCCGTGATAGCGGCGACGAGGACGACGGTGCATACACGTGACGTACATTGATATTCCGGGAGCGTAGATCTCACCACCGGGAAACAGATCGCGGCACGTCGTGGGTGGAACGCAGACGAAAAATCGCGACGATATCGGGAGCACTGAGAACACTTCACACTGTCGAGCACGTCCGCATAGTCGTGATACGTGGAAAGAAGAGCAACGGCGGCGGCGGCGTCGGTGGAGGCGTCGTGTTCGAATATTCGATCGGTGGGTTTGGAATTCTTCCGACAGACGAGGAAATTGGAATTTGTTCCCCGGATGTTTCCTGATCCGTAGCTGGACGACTTCGAAACGGGGATGCAAGATGAGAAGAAACGCGCACAGTGGAGGAGATTTACGGACCGCGATGATGACAACGACGACGATGACGATGACGACGACGACGTCGACGACGACGACGACAACGACGTGGATAACTTTTTTCAAACGGGGTCTGCTCCGTTGGCTGCCCAGGGTCAACCGGCTGGCTCCGCGCGCGGCACTTTTACCCGTTGGGTACTCTCAAGGACTCGGAGGTGGCTCCTATTCCTTTCTCTTATCCTTTCGCGCGCGCGCCTTTTTTATCCCGCTAACCTTTTTAAGCGCACTTTTAATTCCGCTCGGCCGCGTGTCTCCGCGCGGCGTTCACGAGCTCGGGATCTCGTTGGGATCTCTGCTCGATGCACCACCAGGAGGACGAGCACCGGGGAAAATCCAGTTCGAGGAGGCGTCGAGGAGGCGTCGAGGCGGCGCACCGTCGGCGACAGCGAAGAAAACCAGTGGATCCAGCCACATCCGGATCGTACGATCGGACTCCTCCCTTTTCCCCGGATTTACTTTTCCGCGGGTCTTGTCGTCCACCTCGTCGTCGTCTACCTTCGACGCGGTGCTCGAACACCGTATCTCCACCGTGTGTATCGTTGCCTTGCGATTTCCTGTGGCGGGATTGTCTCTCTCCTTGTCCCTCTCGCGCTTCTCTTCTTCCTCCCCTGCCTCTCCCTTTCTCTGTCTCCTTTCTCTTCTGGTTTTGTAATCCGTTTTACGAAACGTTGTTGCAGCGAGCGGGACGCGATCGAGGAATCAAGAGACAGCCACGCTCGAATTGAACCGCGAGATCGGGGTGTCGTTGCTTGCGTCGACGACGTTCGTCCCGGAAGCGGGTTACCGGTGAGATACAGGCGACGACCTTGAGCACTCGCATTTCGTAGCGCACGACGCCGGCAGCAGCGGCCGGGCAACGATCGTTTCCATCGCTTTCTTCGCCGTATCGAACTTGAACGACCACCGCGTATCGCCGCGCTCTTTCCCTCCCGCGGATTTCACGAAGCAACGGTATTAGAAATGTCGTTGCACAATTGCCCCACGGTTCTTTCGTCGCTCTGGTTTCCCGTTTCGTGGTTCGTGTTCGTGTTCGCGTTCGTTGCGTTCCACCGTTCGAATTCCTCGCAATCACCCGTGTTTGCTTTCCGCGGGAACACGTCGACGTGAAACGGCTCGCGATGGTGGCTACACCAAATCCGAAAGCCGCCGTCGAGAAAGAGAAGGAGAGAGAGAGGTAGGTAATATTCGGCTATGCCCAGCCTACGAGACAGGATCGGATTTTAGCGCGCTCCGCACGCGCTCCCGCGAGCCCAAGTCGGCGGTTTCAACTTTTACTTTCAGCTCTTACACAACGCGGGGCCCGCTCTTGCTCGGTGTACGTAAGCGGCGCAAACCGAACGGCCGAGAGACTCGCTCTTCGTTTCGATGCTTCTTCTTTTCCTCGTTTCTCCCTTTCCTTCGTCACCTTTCACTTCCTTTCTATCGATCGGGGTGTACGTTGGTCGCTCCACCGACAACCGTCAACGCCGTGCCCACCGAGACGACACCTGTTCGCGCGCAAATTCCCCCGTAAACTTTTTCGCGTCGATTCCTCCAGCTGTGCCGTGCGCCGCGGCTCTTCTCCCCGATCGTTGTTCGAAACTTCTGACGGACTTTCGGGGGAGCAGCAGGCCCCGAAAGCGATTCCTCCGTGCACGCAGCCGGACCAGTCCGAACAGAGCACGTGCGTCGTCGAAAGCACGTGCGGATGAGCACGTGTTCTGGTGTTTTCGTTCCTCGGGAACGGCGCACTGGGACCGGAGAGACGATAACGACGACGCCTCGAAAGCCTTCCGCGCGATCCACGAACCGAGTCGACGGAATTTCGCGCCGCTGGGGCGACGTTCGTTCGCGTCCTGCCGGGAAACCCGGAAGAAGAAGGAAACCAGGTGGACCACGTGGCCTGTCCGCGCGACGATATCAAACACCGCGGGTCGGCGAGAAAATACGAGAAACGAAAACGGAGAAAGAAACAACGGGCAGAACACGTCGTTGACAACGGTCGACGTCGGTTTCTTCGATATTATTTCGCACTGCACACACGCCCGCGCACCCGCGTATGTACACAGAGTCGAGACACTCGATCGAAGCGATCTATGTTTTTCGCGCGTGGTCTCTCTTTCTCACTTCGCCGGAGGACTTCTTCAGGGAGAGAGGGTCTCTTCCGGTCTCCGCGGTGTGTCTCACTGCTCCTCGCTCCGTCGTAACTTTTGCGCAAAGCCGAGACCCTCTCTTACTCTTCGCCTCTCACTCTTTTGCTCTTTCGCTTTCTCTGTCTGGTCCTAGGTAAACGCGGAGAGAGGTAGACTGGGCAGTCAACGAGAGATGGTGGTGGTGGTGGTGGTGGTAGTGGTGACGATGGTGGTGGTTAATGCGATTCGATGGTAGTGGTGTGGTCACACGGACGTGACCGCTCGTAAACGCGCGTGTATATACACACCATCCACCGATCGGAACGTCAGTACGGTGACGATAAATGGCAACGGTGGTAGTAGTGACTCTGCGGCGGCGGTGGTGGTGGTGGTGGTGGTGGTGGCGGTGGTGGTGGTGGTGGTGGTAGAGAAGAGGCCAGGTGGGCCCCGTGGCTTACAGGCGAGCCCAGAAAGGGTTGAGGGTCCGAAAAGCACGGTTCTCTCTCTCGAGAACTCCCTGGCGGAATACTCACGCTAGAGAGGAGGCCTCGCGAGTCTTGTGAGTTGGTTTGTAAAGGGACCGTAGTATTGGTTCCTCGTCGAGTGCCACCTATTCACATCTCCCTCGCTCCGTTGCTCGTTCTCCCTCTACCTATCTCTTTCCTACGCTTACTCTTTCCTCCCACCATCGCCCTTCCACCTACCACCACCTTCCTCCACTCTCCCTTTCCCCACTGGTGCTCTCACTATTACATTACAAATAGCTCTCTTGCCTAGGCCTCTCGTTTGTGAGGTGTTGCTCCTTCCGTGCACGTTCACGAGCCCCGTTCATGTGTGCGCGCGCCTCGTTCGCCGCTCTGGTTGTGCGAGTAGCGCGTGTACTGGCGTCGGTGTGCCCCGTTGCACATGCACGTACTCTCGCGCGATACCAGTATAGAGTTGTTCGTCCGTCTTTCTTCGTTCGCTTTTCCCTTCTCTCTCGCGACGGTTTTCTTTCTCGTTTCTGTATCTAGCCGCGTGCATAAGTCTATCGCGGGAACCCGCGGTGCGCGCACGTACTTGACCAACGACCACGCACACGCAAATAATCGCAACGGTTCTACGCTGCTGGTGCTTTCATCCTCGTCGTTCGGATGCGGTTGGATAGAAGGCCTCTTTGTCACGGTAATGGTGTAATACAAGACTCGGCTCGTACTCGTGCACGTAATACGTAAGAATGAAGCGAGAGAGCTCTCCGCAGACCCCTTGCGCGCTCTTTTTCTTTCGACGACCCTCCCCCTCCCCCGCCCCCACCCCCCTCGCCCTCCCGTCCGTCCTCCGCGTCCCTCCTACCCCGTACATTTCCGTTCTTTCTGTTCGTCCTCCCATGAGCCTTTTCTTCTTGTGTCCACACTGTCTCTCCGGTAATTTCTATCTCGTTCTCCCGATTCTTCCCGTCTTCCTTTATCGCCGTCACGGAACTTTATCTTTTGCTTTTCTTCTACCCCTCCCACTCCCCCACGGTCTCTTTGTCTTTCCCGCTTCTTTTCTCACTCCGGCTCGCGGTGCTCTTCGTGCGCAAGAACGCGCTTGCGCGTCTCCTCAGTCTCTCGCGAACCGACGAGATAGAACGTTACGTTTTCACCGCCTCCTTCTCTTCCGTTCCCTTTCCTCGTTCCTTTCTTTCTTTCTTTCTTTCTTTCTTTCTTTCTTTCTCTACGCTCTAGACCCGGCTCCGTTCCGTCGACCTTCCAACCCGTCGGTCTCCTCTCTATTCTTCTCGCCATCTATATCGCACACCCACGTGCTCTTTTCGTCCACTCGAGGAAAAACGACGGGTTTGGCCCCCGCGCGCGCGCCGGGCCCCAATCGGTTCGCGCGCAGCCACCGCGCGTAAAGAAACTTTTTCATCCGGAGGAATTATTATGCCGTTGCTCTAGTTATGCATCGAATACGCTTTCAGCCGTGATCGATAGTGAAATGCTTGAATGACTCGCTGGTAAACACCTTCGGCTTCAGGTTTCCTCCGTGTTTACTTTCATTACTGGTTTTAGCTCGTGACACAAACATCTTTAACGAACACTTACCGATCGCGTTAACGTTATCGCGCGGCTCGAAACGAAACGAAACGGTGCCTCGCGCGTTCGTTTTTCTCTTTAAACCCACGTGTATCATCCTTTCGACCGCGATATTCGAGCCGGACCGCCACCGTTTAGGTCGCTCCAAATTGATACGTAGCTGCGTGTCCGTGCCCCGCGGGATTGCGTAACCGGCCGCGTCGTCGAAACACCAAAGTGGTCCACGATCCCACGAAACCCTTTCATTCATCGGTGGTAGACGCGCCTCGATCGGCCGTCGGACTCGTTTCATTAACGAAACCTTTAGCTCAGGCGAGCGTTTTACTTTTCATTGGAACTATTTATAAACATTCTTCGAAAGAATTTCATGGCCGACCGGTGCGCGCGGCTTTAATTCGAGTCGGTGTACCAGATACGTGATTGTTTCTTTATCCCTCTTTCTCCGTGAGAGCTCGTACGGGCCGGCGCGGCGCGTATGTACCTACACGCAGCTATTGCCATTCGTAGATTCGGTCAACGATGTGCACGCGTCCGGAGATTACGGCAGCGCCTGGCTATACTTAGAGCGGTAGACGAATTTCGCTCGAGGGCCGCACGGAAAGGAGGTCGAGGAACAGCTGATGCGATATGCACGCCGACCACGGCGCAATTCGGCGCGATATCGCTTCACTTTTGCTCTTTCTCGTCGCCAAAGGTGCACCGCGTTCCAACCCAGACTATTCTATTAATTCTTTACCATTTCAATGTTTCGCTAATATTCCTACCGAACTAAATTACTCGATACATTGTATAAGGAATTTACAAATACATCAATGGAATTATTTATTTATTCACAATTTTATCAGTTTTAAATACACTTTGCAATTATCCGCCGTTTATTCAAATTTAAAGAGCTTTCCGAATGCTCCGAATACATATTTGGAAACAAAAGCAAATATAAACTCTCTTTTTACAGAATGTTTATAAATGTTTGTAAATTCGTCAAGAACTTGGAAAAGATTCACTAAAAATAAACGAATTATTCGGGTGACCTGTTTCAAATGCCCCACCCTGTATACATATACATAGACTGCATGTTCCCAATACGATTATTATAATAATTTCAAATATCGTTATTTGAACAGTATTTATCGAATATTGTTACTTTAATTATTACAAATTCGAACCAATTTCAAATACGTAATTTCGATACGGTCTTTTGAGAGTTGTAGGAACTTTTCTTTGGTCTATTTCGACGATATTGTGCCATTAAAAATGTCATTTCCACGAGTAACGATTTAGCCGGTAATCGATGAGAAATCGGTAACCTTTTGGACAAATACGAACGCTCCAACCGGGAACGTTGTCTTAATCAATCCGACGTTACCGAGTTTACGTGGCTTAAATCGCTTCGATATTCGATAAAAAGTTCTACCAGGTACTGTTGCGTAAGTATTAAACGTTAAAAGAGACATCGTACACGCGATCGATCGTTCGACGGTATTAGAAATCACAGACGTAACGATTTTTCGTGCAACAATTTCTACGAATTTATTCGAACAAAATTTGGTTGATATTCTTCTAATATCATTGCAATTCCGATGTTATTGTAAACATTGATTGTCTACTATATACCGACGACACGAACATTTATCGTACTCCTCGGAAAATGGAAAATGCAGCTTTATTATAATTGCATCTTGACAGACCCACCTCCTGGCGTGCAAGAAATACGCTTTATAACAGGATCTCAAGGTACTATATTATTCGTTTCAACCAGAAAACTGTTCCAATTATATTTTCTTACGATATTAACAGTATATTATTATCTACGGTTGACACCATACGCGATTTATCATCTTTTTTAATACACTATCCTTCCACGACCATTATCAGAAAATTACCAACTCGTTGTTCGAAACACTCGTTCTCGTTTATCGCGTGGCTAAATATTTCCCACATTAATCGATGGTTTCCGAGCTCATTAAGAGTTATAGAAAATATAGAAAATGTCGTGACGCGGTCTATAACTTTTTCCAAATTCCCTATCGATAATTTCTCTTTTTTCGTAACTGGAACGTGGGGGCGTAATAATTTTCCGCCCGGGGTCGCAAACGGAGGCAAACACGGCTCTGTTTATCGTGCAATAAATCGTTGCGTCTGTGTCCCTAATACGTCATTCGTGGAAACACCGATGAATAAAAAGTGTACCCCCGAAAAAAAACGCCAAACGGTTTCTCAAGGAGCGGCGCGTTACGTCAAATATTTGCTCCGCGTTATCAGCGTGGTCGTAATTGTCGAGAAAATTAATTAATTCGCGTGCACACCCGCCGGCTGATCCGGCTGCCTTGAGTTATCGTACTAGATATTATTTATTTATTTATGGTGCGGTCTAAATTAAAAGCGCGTCGAGAAGGCCAAACGTTTTGCGTAATCGTTACAGGGAGCACGCGGCTGTTTATCATTACGCGCGAAAGAGAAGAGCATGAGGAGTTAGGCGTCGGAGGGGGGGTTTGAGGGAGAGGACGGAATAGAAAGAGTCAAAGTAGGAGAGAGAAGAAGAGGGGACGAATGCAAGGTCCTCTTCAATTCTCGGCACGCATGCAATTAAGCACCTTACTATTTTTTCGCATTCCCTCTCGCGTTTACGCTTTCGAGATCCTCGGGCGTTCTTTATCCTCGGCGCTACATCGATCCGCACTTATCGTTATTAATTTTCGACGATTTTCGTACGATTTATATAATTCTATACTCGTTACTCGTCGCTGCATACTTTATATATACACATTTATTTCGAACGAACACTAAAGCTACAATTTTATTTATTTTTGTTTGTGATCGTTCGTTGATTCGACGTTTCGAAGTACTTTATGGTATATAATAATAACAAAATGATAATGCTTGCTATATTAAATTATTCGAGTCAGCTCCTTCCTAGATTAAAAAGCGAGGGAAGTTTCAAGTTTGTTACCGTCCACACTAAATTTTATCTCGCTGAAAGCGTAGTTACACGGTTACAACGTCGGGCGATACGCAACATTTCTCCTGCTATCCGCGCAATCTTATCAACACGGACGTTGTTTTCTTCGTCTGACTCACGCGACACTATAATTAGGACAGTCTACTTTGCTCGCCGGCGACGAGCAACAAAGCAAGCCCGCCACGTTGCTCCTCGATGCAACATTTTCAGCGCGTTGGAAACTAATCCGTTGACACGGGGGTCCGAAATTATGGAGCAACACCCTCCCCTGGTCCCGTTTGGTCACTCGTGAGACTGTCTCACCTCCCGAACTCTTTCGTTTCGTCTCTGTCTGGCTC